AGGTGAGCTCACGGTGTCAAACTGTGTATCCACTGAAACTGTGAACCTAGAAGAGTCACGGTTTTTGAGGCTCTTCTTTAGTCTTTCTAATAAACAATATGCGTATAAAGAAGCCTGTTTTGTTATACCGAGCATGCGCAGGCTGAAACAGTGCAGCTGTCTGTGTTTGACAAAAAAGAGTCACAGTCACATCACGTCTCCATAAACAAGATTCAAAAATAATCGTTAAACACCTCTGCATCATGTTTCAGTACTGTCCGACGGCCTCCAGTCTCACTTCTTCATGTTCCAATTATCAAAGACTTTCTTGTAATTTTTGAAGTGGTCTTGTTCCTCCAGGCTTTCTGATGGACCTTCTTTGGATGTTGGCTGCTTGTTCATTAATTTTCAGTCCAGTCCTTTTGCCTGACAATTTCAGAAAAATGTTTTTGTTTGCTAAAGTTTTCACTCCATTCCCTTCGGGATTCTTGAATGCTGAGCTATCATAAAAAAGACACTTAAGGGATGAACCAGTGCTGAGCCTATACATAACATACATGTTTTCTTTTAACACATTTGTTCCCATTAATTTTGCAGAACTAAAAAGTTGAACTATTAGAAATGGTCAGAGTGTAAGTGTGCCTGTGAAGAAGTTCTTCTTAAGTAAGGGAAACAGAGAAAAGGCTGAGGTATGCCAAATCAAAGTTGGCATGTAGGAGGTCAGGAGAGGTCACGAGTTTCCTGAAAAACATTTAAAAAACGTAATTAATTTCAGCTTTGAATTGTGGGTATTAAATGTAAATTGATTCCAGAGGTTTACTTCACTAAACCCCTCAGCTGCTTCAGTTAAGTTGCCCCCTCCTCTTCTTACCCCCTGGTGTTAAGGGGCAGGTGGCGGAGAAGCTCCATCTAAGCAAAGCGGCTGACTGGCTGTGCTTCGTAGAATAAAATGTAGTAGAATGTCTTCATTGTCACTATTGTACAATGAGATACAGAGCATCTCCTACTCAGTGCAAACATGTGGGGTGGGGGGAACAGTTCTTCAGCACTATATACATAAGAACAGTATTAACAGAGATAAAATATATAAAATGTACAAATATGCAAAAAGGTGTAAGAAAGTAAATATGTAATAAATAGTGTTATGTATATACAGTTGGGTTATTCCACATAGAATATGGTATTCATGACTGCGTATTTACGAATAACACTCAAACCCCAAGATTTTGCCAACTTTGTCCTAAAACTAAGTTTTAAAAATATTTCCTCTCCTGGAAATCAAAATTCCGGCCTCCGTTTTCACTCCATTCCCTTCAGGATTCTTGAATGTTGTTTCTCTCTCAGGTTTCGCTTCTTACATGATCACCGTATTCGTTATGACGACACGTCATGTCACAGCGGACACGCCCCGCTCAGCGTCCCTCCAGCGGATGCAACCTAGCCGAGAGTGAAACGCAGTAAGGAGCCTCAGAGCGCCTGCGTCGAAGGGTGAAGGCAGAGACGCCAGTAATACCGGAAACAAGAACGTCTACAAAATAAAGGCACCATTCGACCGAGTGACCCACTTTCCCAATCTGCGTCAAATTTCAGCTGCTAAATGATCCGTCATCGACCACTGGTGATATTTTATCAGGCATATGTACTGTGTGGGATGTAAAACTATGATAAACACCCATCAAACCATTGCAAATCAAAATACCTGTAATTACAAACGAAGGTTTATTTCGAAACCAAATTATCAAGAAGACACCCATTCAGACAGATGAACAACATTAAAAACGATTTATTTATTTATTTTTTCTATTATTGATAAACCTAACGCGGATTAGACAGAAAGGCAAAACAACACGTCATGTAACCGAGTCATTAGTTAAAGCCAATTAGTAGTCTCTGTCCCCGGTTAATCTTTTAAAACTGTGTCCAAACAATCAAACTGATTCGTTAGCTTCTCCTGATTACTGCTCAGAGACTAATCACTTGTTTACATCACCTTTAACTTGATCCGATCTGCTGTTTCCTTGTAAAGATAAACGGTAATGTGCTTAAGTAAAACGCAATGAAACACTAAAACTAGACTTTTGAAAAAAGATCTAAAGGAAAGTACTGTTAGACACAAAAATCACTCTAAAACGAGAATAAACAGGAAATGTTTCCAGTTTTAGTCTTTGTCGGTGTTAAAAACAGACTGGCCTAACATGATACGCAATGCTGTGTTTGTGTTGTAAACCGATTCTGGGCGTTTTAAAGTTTGCCTCAAATACCTGCTTCCTACTGTTAGAATAAAATATAATAATAACTGATAGTCAGATTCATCAAAACCAAACTGAAAACTCTACACCTGAACAGAATGAAATAAAACACAATAATAAAATAAAAAATAACTTTGCCTGTTTAGGTAAATTTTGCACAATATCCTGTGGTCGAAAAGTAAAGGCCTCCGAAGACATTTAACTATAGATTAAAATCCTCCTTGTTAATAAGAAATTGAGAGAAACCGTAAGCGGAAGCGAGGGACTCTTACTTTGAAGTCTCGGACGGAAGTAGCCCGTGTTTACAGTGAGTAACCTGACGCCTTTGAGGGGTTTAGGATTTTACTGTGTCGTCGAGTCAGATGAACAACAATAAAAAGCCGAATCGTTTCGCTCAGCACTTAGATTGAAGATGGAGAAGAAGGAGGGGGTCGTTGCGGTCAAACGGTAAGACTTATCGATTTACGGTTACTCGGGTGAAGGCTTCGGTATGTTTATCTGTATTTTTTCGCTTTTAACTTTGAGTGTCCAGGAGCCATTAAAGCAGCAGCGGGCGGTGGAAACGACGGCGGCTTAGCTCGCACGGCTACAGGCTGTGTGGCTAGCTCTCTGTCGGCCTGTTTATATTCAAGGAACATTATTTTTAAATTATTATTTAAATAAAAAAAATCTTCTGTTTTCCCCCCTCCACAGCTCCGTGCTGCCTTTTCCATGCGTTCAACACAGCCTTTTAATTTGAAATCCTATTTGAATTGCGCGTGCTGAGCAGGCTTATGTCCTTAAAAAATAGACATAATTAATATTACAGCATGTTTACAAGTCTGTAAATTAGATAAATATGCATGAAATGTGATATCTGCCGTACACCTGTATTACTCAGTCTGGTCTTGTGTTGTTGTTGCAGAGCACAGCCGCCGCCTTTGTTCACGCCATGTTGCTCTGCTTCATGGATGTCCCGCATCCCAGTTATGGATTTTTCTTTTTTTTTTTATTGCAGGCAGACATAACAGACAGAGATGGCTGCGGAGAGATAATATTAACGTGTTCGCGGGGTTTCTCGGGACTTTGCGTCTTATTGTAGTAGATTGTTTAAAAAAGAGGAAGCTTTGGTGGAAAGTGGAAGACAGTCTGGGGACATTTAGTGACACCTCAAAGAAAGGAACTGTGTGTTCTCCGAAGGCTTTAGAGCAGAGCCTGAGTACACCTTTGGTTCACATTGTTTTATAGGACATGTTTGTATTTATCAGAGAGTATGGCTGCCATAGAGGGCATATTTTCATGTATATGGTTATAAGAGACACACTTATGTGTTCTGGAGTAAGTGGCAGATAATTTGTTTCTAGTCATGTCTCTTTTTTGTGTTTGTTTTTTTGTAATGCTTTGAGGTTCTTTTCAAATCCCGCTGGTGTCGGGGCAAGGCTTTAGGGTTTAATATTAACACTAAAACTGGAAGTATAGTCTTTCCTGTCAGAGCATGGGGGGGGTGGTAACAAGTGGGACAGAGTGGACAGCCACAGCAGGAGCTGTGACCTCCGCCTAGGAGGAAACCTGAAGCCCACCAGAACAGTGTGCTCAACCAAAAGGTGTCATGTGTTAGTACATTTATTCATATTTGTAGGTGACTCACAAGGATGAACTCTCGGTCACATTATTGATTAGTCTGTTAAACTTAGTTTGATAAAGCCCATAAAGTTGCTGGTGTCAGCTTTGATGTGTCTCATAAAAATGTGGATTGGAAAATTAGGAACATGAAGAAATGGTCTTGGACTTTAACCGCCGTTATGTGTTTGGTCCAGTCTGTGTATTTGTTCAGAAAGTTGAAGCTAGATTGTTGGGAAATTTGTTCGCGCACACTCGGCTTGTTTCCATAAATTTCTGCATCCAAGTCCAAGAAGTTTTTGGAAGGACTCTTTACTAATGTCTGATGGGGCAGATGTAGATGTTTCACATGCTATAAATTGTTTTGATGTTCTAAAGATAATCTCACAAATTAATCTGGATCTGCACACTCAGATTGTGGAGGGTGTGTGTTTGTTGGCCTTGGAGGAAGTATGTGTTCTTGGATTGCTCCTGGTACTTAATGTGTCCTAGTTCTGTTTGTGAGTTTTGTGGTCACCTGAAAAGAAGTGTCTCTGATTGGGACTAACTGATTTAAAAAGACTTGACATAAGCACATAATGTTGAAATTACATTATTCTTGAGATAAATCAGGATTTTCATCGTCTGTTTTGGCTCATTAAGTGTGAACCTTCTCTGCAGTACTAACAGATCGGCAAGGTATTCTGAGACTGTTTTATTGGCGCGTTAGCTGAGTTTGACAGTTCTGCTTTAAAGAAAAGTTGGTTTAAGGCCAAAACAGCCTGTGAGAGTAGGAAAAAGAACAGTTGTTCAAATGTGACCACAGTAGGCCAAAGGTGTGCGTCTGCCATGACAGTCTCCAGGCTGCCAAAAACAACCCTTCCCTGTTTCAGCAATCTTGGACATTGTGTACTGAGCCAAACAAAGCTGAGCTCACTTTGTTGTTTATAGTTTAGTGCGCATGTCAGCAAGGATATGAGATGTCTGGTGTTTGTATGTGTGTACCATGTTTACATATCCTTGTGGGGACCAACAATAATGCCCATCTCAGAGAGAGTTTGAAGGCATTTTTAAGACTCTAAATGTGGTTTTAGTGTCAGGGTTACTATTAGGCATTCAGTTTTGATGGTTAGGGTTAGCAGCTAGGGGAAGCATTATGTCAATCAGATGTCCCCTCTTGTGTACTTGTGTGTGTGTGTGTGTGTGTGTGTGTGGGTGTGTGTGTGTGTGTGTGTTTTTGTGTGTGTGTGTGTGTGTGTTGTGTGTGACGCAGTAGTGGGTGGTGGGGTGGTGTGTGTGGGGGTGCGCGGGCGGGGGCGCGCGGCTGGCAGGATATGTGGATTAATTTACGAAGGGGGTCCCGGAGTCTTTGTCCTGGACTTCCTCATGTTTTCCTTCACTCTCTCCCGTCCTCATCGCTGCATTTGTTCCTTTTGCTTTAAAGTCTCGTGACCTGCTGCTGAGTGTTGTGTGTGTGTGTGTGTGGAGAGCGCTCCCTCCCCGTCTACACATGCCACGAGAGGACATTGTGTTCTAAGCGTAAGTGGCGGTCCAACTGGTTATTGCTTACCTCATGTTTCATAGACGCTCCATCTGTGTAGATTATAGGTAGGTGTGTGTGTGTGTGTGTGTGTGTGTGTGTTTTAGAGGAAGGCGCAGTCATGTGTGACGGCTCAGTAACCGCAGTTTGTACTCCAGAACACACACAGAAGACGGTGTTTGGTGCAGAGCTCTATTCAGGGCTTTGTACACCTCGTCCCAACACATGCATGCACACACACACACACACACACACACACACACATGCACACTTGTATTGAGCAATAAGTCGACAAAGAGCAGCGCTGCTCTCTGACCAAGGACACGGAGCTCGCTGAGGCTCCTCCCCCTGGCAGGCTGCTGGGTGCTGTGTGTTGACAGCCTGTGATAAACAGCTGTAACGGGGCTGCAGTACCTGACTGACTCGTCCAGGTGTAATTACATCGGCTCCTTTTAATGTGTCAAAATCCATCAACATAGTGTTAGTACTTTGTGTGTGGCTCTGTGGTGTAGTGGTTTACACATTCGCCTAACAAGTGAAAGGTTCCTGGTTTGATTCCAGAAGCTCCATGAAGACTTTAATTGTTCTGTTATAAAACGATGAAGAATGACAGACAAACTTTTATTGTGTTTTTTATTATAAGGACATATTTTAAAACCTTTAACATTAATGTTAGGCTGGTGGAGGGGTGATGGAGTAATCAGCCAGGAGGGTTATTCGCGTCCACCTCTTGTGTTTTACAGGTTTGTCTTTAGACTCTAAAAAGTTCCTGGTTTGGTTTAGAAAACGCGGTCTGGTTTCATCAAGACCTCTCAGCAGTAGCCATGCATGCTTAACACTGACAGGTTTGGCGTGACGGACGTGTTTTGCTTTTTCCATATCCTCATGTATCACCCACCGCCATCGAAGGACGTTCTTTGTGTGAATGTGACACCTTATCAAAGCAGCATTATTTTAGGGAAATGGCCTTGAAATTGAGCCTAATCATGTCAGCGCTGTTTTTCACGGGATTTCCTCTTATTTGCACGATTGTTTAATTTGTGCACAGAGAATAAATATCTGTGAGACGATGTAGGACCAGAAAGCCGTTTTCACTCACAAACTTTGGAGAGTTTCAGGATAAGTAGGTCAGGATGTTTTCTGTAGTTGGCTTTGTTTATATTGCATGAAGCACGCAGGAGGAAGCCGTCTGCTTCAGACATGTTAAAACCGCTGGAAGTGCTCCAGAGGGAGTTGTCTGGATCGAGCTTCCAGGACGCTCTTTCACTACCGGTAAATGCACCGGTAGAGCTATTACTCGAACTGCTCCCACAGTCTGACAGTCTGAGTTTTTTATGAGGGAGCTGGCAGGTTCAAAACATTTTAAAGTGACTACGTCAGACATTTTTCTCACACACCTCTGTCAGGTGATGTCTAGAAGAGTTCAAGGATGCTGTGCATGTGTGGAAATGTCTTTCCACCTCCGTCTAACGGCAAAACGTGAAACGCTGTCATGTGTGAGGACACGAATTTGGCAGTTTTCCAGTACAGGGAGGAGGAATTTGACATTTAAGGAGGAAGCTTTGAGGGAACTAGGAATGCCATCATACCTGAAATTGAGTAGATGATATCAGAGCCAGTAGATTTACACAATCCCAAAACAAAATTATGTAATGCACTTAAACATAAACATGTAGGTGTACCCCGTCACTTCCTGAAAAGCTGCAGGTTCAGTACCTACACCGCCTACAGCAGCTGAGGTCATGAAAAAACCAACTACTGGGGCGTTTTTGGAGTTTTGGTATCAAAAGGTATCCTGAGTTTCGGTTCTGGCAACTTCCTGGCGGAAACCAAGAGAAGTGAACTTCTGTTTTCCAAATCTTAACCAAGTCATTCTGGCTGTTGGAAGGTCAGGGTGTGTGAAAGTAAAATGAAAGAAAATGTAGAAGTATTCAGTCACGTGTGCAGCTCGAGCGGTGGTGTTCATCCAAAAAATGTGGACTTTCTACCCTTTAAACCTGGAAAAGTTTCCACCTGTGCTTGTGGACATGAGTCAATAAATCTGATGAAAATTTGTGTTTGTGTAAACAGCAAAGGAGGGGAAATCTGTACCCGAGAACACGGATCGATAGATTAAATATTGGGAGTATTTAACAAACAGCTGTAATCTGTGTTATAGAGGTGAAAAATTTAAGCGTGTTTAGCTGAAGTTGTTTCCCTTCTGTTGTCTTTGGGGGAGGGAAATTAGGCTTAAACCCTAAAGCAAGTCAGCTGAGGGGAAGCACTGAAGTTGTTGGAGACTCATGAAGCTGTAGTAAATTACATGGGGTGTTTGTCTTGTTTGTGTAAGATAAAGAAAACCTGAGAGGAAATAAGTATCCAGTCCACAAGATAAAATCCCTTAAAGGTGCTAACGCAAGTATCAAGCTAATATCGGCGACAACAACAGTTGTCTGTAGTTCTGTAAGTGGCGGAAGGACTGCAAGCAGCAGTGTTAACAACACAAAAAGGAGCTAAAACTTGAGTTTTAATCAAAACAGTTGAATGTAACAGCACAACAGAAGGACACGTTGTGTCCTCACCCGTGTGCAGCTCTGTTTTTAGTTTGTGATAAAACTGTGACACGGTTTCATGTGTCCACATGCTTACCAATGACCTTGGTAAGCATGACAAATATTTTAAGATATTAAAGAAAACCAGGGCAGAAGAAGCTCTCACAAACACACCCCACATTAATCTCATGACCCCTTGAAGGGTCTGTGACCTCCCTGCTGGGAAGGGCTGCCTTTCAAAGGCAAAAAGAGGAATGCATTCCTCGCAAACCCCCTGAAGGGGTTTGTCCGCCCCTGGCGTCACTGAGCTGCGCTTTGGGAATTCACGTCTTGCTATTTTGTTGCTGCGAGTTTGAGTGCGAGTCGTCTAATTGTCAGCTTCCAGCGCAGCGGTTTGAAGTGGGTTTGTCAGCTTGTTTTTCTTGCACAGACGCAGCACAAAGAGACAAAACGAGCTGCGCCATTATCTCTACCGAACGGTTGCTGAGTGTTTGAGGGTGACGTAGGCTGGTGTGAAACTTTGACCATATCTGTGGCTGTCCAGCTGCACTTCACCTCCTCAAACACGGAAATGCGTTTGACTTGGGATGGCGTGCCAGAAGCTGCATGAAATATATCTGCAGTGTTGTGACCCTCGCAGTGTTTATGTACCCAAAAGATGTTGAGTGACGTTAAGCTGACATGCTAAACCGAGAGGTTTTTTTTGTCTTTCTGCAAGCAGCATACCAGAGTTTCCTGTCTTTGGTACAGTCAGTTCCTTACACACCAAAAAAAAAAGTTCATGACCCTGAGCTGTGGAAAATTACAAGGTGTTTTTTTTTTTTTTTTTTGTTTCTTTTTTGGCCACCTTGTAGACAAAACGATTGAATAAAAATGATAAGTAAAAGTGTTGCAGACTCCTCTGCAGGAAGAGAGCTGCAGCAAAGATGTTGCTGAATTGGAGGAAAACGTCTTGTTTATTTAATTTTTGGGTGTGCTTTTGAGCAAAATTGAGCTGAACCCCAGAGGTAAACAAACCAAATCCCTGTGCAGTGTACGGTACACTCAGTATTTCAGGCTGTGAACGTGACTCTGTTTCACTTCTTTGCACGAAGATTCAGCAAAGAAACAAAGGGCTGTTCGTTCAGAGGGGGGTGAGGGGGGAGACTCTGAAAGTGTGTGTGGCTGTGTTTGTTTGCTGTCTGTTGAATAAAAGCCATCACGTGGATGCGGATGGTGTAATAAATTTGTACTCTTGTTCTATTGCCCCGCAATAAAGAGATTTGTGGTATTATGTGCTGATGCAACAGCAGCAAAAACAAAGATGTTCTTTAATCTGAGCTCAGATATTCACACGGGTTCCAGGTGGATTAGGTCCTGATACAAACAGTGTGGGTGTGCCCGAGTGTTCCCGAGTGTGAACATTATGTGCTACTGTCTGAATAAAGGACAGACAGGTTTGTGTTCACTTTCAAACCAAAGCAGGGAGGAGGTTTTCAGATCAGGCAGTGAATGTAGAAGATGTCCTTGCGCTCACAGACCCACTTTATTTCATTTCTTTTGACTCAGCGTTGTTGTTGTTGTTATTGTTATTATTCATTGATCACCTTCATTTGATTTTGTTGCACTCCATATTCCTCCAGTGGATGTTAAGCAGCAGTATTAGGTGAGGTCTGATCTGTTGTCTCGGCAGGTTTTGTTTGTTTTGTTTTGTTTTTGCTGCTGAAAACAGAAAAAATAAACACAAAGACTAAAACAATACTGGCAAAGTCGTAATTTTAAACAGCAGCATCGGCCCAGAATTTCACATTCGAAGTCTGCTTGTTTTAGAGGATGTGGAGGCCCCTGTAAGGAATAACCCACAATGTGAAGAGTTGTGCAACATTTCTGTCAGCGTGATTAAACACGTATTACCATAGTGTGTGTGTGTGTGTGATGATGCTGACCGTGTGTGTGTGTGCGCGCGCGCTGTGTAAAGGCGTCTGTCAGCTGCAGAAGTTATTTTTGAAGCCGTGCTCAGCTGGTGTCCTGTGTTGTGTTCTTTTTGTTCTGCGGTTTGATCATTCATTGGCCTGAGTTGGCACACTGAAAGAGGTCACTTTGTTTTAGGTAGTTATTAAAGCCTGTAGCTTTTATTATGGAGGACCCAATGTGCCAAAATAAATAAAGAAACAACTTTATTAGTTTTTAATTTGTGTCAACAGTGCACGTGTAATGGAATGTTGACATATGTGTTTAAATAATTAGGCCTTGTATTGAATGCCATTCTTTGTTCATTCATGATTAAAAAGCACCACCAAATAAATACTTAAAGCGCGCAGTCCTGCTGTGTGTTCTCGTCAGCTAAATTCTTTATCATTATGTTTTTTTTCTTCTGCGACGTCCGTGTGATCCCACACAGACGAAGACACCCTTCAGATTCCTGCTCGCTGTTTGTTTTTTCCAAAAGTGTTTTACTGTTTTTCAATAATTTAATATTTGTTGTACAAGAAAACCACCTGTAAATCTCTCCCTATTAAAGTGAACTGCAGAGCCAGACAGGACTAATACACCCACAACTTGAAAACTAGAAAAATCCTGTTTTTCCTAATGGAAGATCAATACACTGTGCAATATTTCAAAATAAAAGCCCTTAGCTAGGCTAGCTATAGGAATTTTCCAGCATGCTTTACAGCGCAAGTTTTTCAAAATAACTTTTTATAGTATAAACATTAACTGCTGACTCCATTCAGCTTTTTCAGGCAACCTGTTTACCTGCAACTTCTTACACATTGAGAAGCAACCATCACACAGCAGTCGCCCCACAAATTGCATTTTCTAATCTATTTCTAATTTACTTTTATATTGTTTTATATTTATTCAGAACTAAATGTATCAATAAGTGAACATTTAGAAATCCATCATTTTTTTTTTTAACAACTTATCCAAATCATGATCATGAGGGGCCGCCACTATAAATATTCTCTTTAATTTTTCTTAGTTAGGGTCCTCCACAGCAGTGAAAGAGTGTGTTAGGTGACACTGTGTGGCCTCAACATGATTGCATATCCACCCACAGCTGCAAAACGCAGTGAATGGAAGAGAAGTGAAGAAGTGAAACCTGGCTTTTGTCCTGTCAGCACATGTTTTTTGATCTCGGCCTGAGCGGTGCAGAGCGAGCTGACGGATGGATGAAGACAGAGCGAAGAAAAGACGAGCGGGGGAGGGAGCCCTGTAGATCTGGACGTTTTCCTGGCTGCTGAGATAAAAAAACATTTTGTTCCCTTCAGTTTTTGGGTGCTTCTCCCTATTTTTGCTCACTTCTGTTCCCACTTTGGAGTGTTTATAGAGCTGAAACTTGTGGGCACGATCACAAAGTAAAGACATGAAGGCGTTTATGTCTCATTGCCTTTAAAGTGGGATTAACCCTGTAATTAAACGCCTTCTCTTTACAGAATCTGTACATGCATCTGTGATTAGCGCGTTATATATTTGATGGTTGGGTTGTTTTGCATTAAAAGCATCTGGTCCCGAACTGCTCCTCAAGTGTGTTTCAAAATCCAGAAGACTGGAAGTTGCAGTTTATGAGTTTATTAGGGCACCGAGTGTTGCTCATAAAATTCCCAGCCTGACTCGCAGGTCACTGCTGGAGGCTTTAAAACCGCACAGCTGCAGCACTGAAGGGCTTTTAGGGCTTTATTGGGGCCGTTCAGAGTTTTCTAGATGCATGCCTCTTTTAAAAATAATCTTGAACTGGCTCAGTGCAGGTATTTGACGATGTATTTTTAATTTAAAATACAACAGCCAAGAGGATTTTATATAAAGCTATCTGCAACTGAGTGTTTAGAGCTTTGGCGCTCACAGAGATTCCTCGTACAAACTCTGAGGTCATCATTTGAAACTTTAGCCATGTTTATTACGAGCGTTCGCCATTGACCATAAGGAAAAGCAGAGCAGATCCGCTTTAATGTTGCTCAAAAGGAAACTGGGGGAGCCTTCTTCGTATAGCGCTCATACTCTGACCTTCTTCCTTGTAGTTCTGTGTTAACAATAAGAAGCGTTGTCTGCAGAGGAAAGGAGAAACACATGGTGGGGCTGGAGTGGGGAAGGAAAGTTGGTTATGAGTGAATTGTTGATTCTGGGCTCCACACAGAGGTCTTATTTTTTTTCTTTTAGTCCCACTTCAGCTCCCCCGTTCCTCCCCCACTGCCCCACATTCCTTCTCTGCTCTAATCATCTTTTCCCTCTCCTCGTCCATTCTTCTTTATTTATTTCTGTCACATAACGATTATCCTCCCTTCCTCCTTCACAGCTTCTTCTTTCCACATTAGTCTTCTGCTCCTTTTTTAAAATTTTCACCTCCTGATCATCTTCCTCTTCTCCTTCCTCCAGGACCAGCACAGAACAGAGAAAACTGCGCTCTCGTGATGCGGCCAGATGCAGGCGGAGTCAGGAGACCGAGGTCTTTTATGAACTTGCCCACACTCTGCCGCTCCCACGCCGAGTGTCCACCCACCTGGACAAAGCCGCCATCATGAGAGTGACCCTCAGCTTCCTGCGAATGCACCACCTGCTTCGATCAGGTAAGAAGTACAGAGCCATGTGACAGTACAGTATGCCCCAACAGGGCCTGAAAACCCTTTCTGGATCAATAAGTATTGCCTGATTAAAAATTATTAAACGTTTTGTGTTAAATTTAGGCTAAGACGCTATACTTAACCAAAGCTCATGCATGGCAGGATTTGCGTTGGTGCAAATGTGCTGCTGTGCACAACAGTGACAAAGCAGGTGTTTTCACACATTCTCTGCAGCCCCGAGCCCTGAAAACAGCTTAGGATGCAGTGCACTTAAATGTCACCTGGTCTGAATCGCGCGCCCCAGAGGATAAATAATCATTTCACCATCAGCAGATCCGGTTTTTGGTTCGACAATATAAACTACAAAACAGTTAAGCTCCATCTATACTGCTGTTTTAGTGCTAATAAGCAAACATTGCTGAAGCAGTGCGGTCGAATTTGTAAATATTTGACCTGCTTAACAGCAGGATGTTAGCATACTGAGCACAGCTGCAGACTCGGGTTGGTTCTTTTGGTTTTGTTTTTCTGCACATGCTTTAATTTCATGACCTGCATGCTTCTTTTTTCTGTTTTCTAATGGCAGAAAGCATAAAGACTGGTTTAACTCAGGTAAATAATGCAACTTCTGAGTTCCACGGGACGAGTTAAGAATGAGGAAAGACGTGAAGGTTATGCTTTTATGACTACAGTCAAATATGAGGCTTGATTGTGGCTCAAGTGGTTGTTGTTGCAGGTGAGTCAGGTTTGGATAAAATGTTCCAAGTGGTGAAGTCCTTTAAAAACAGCAGTGTGAGTTCTAATCCTTTAAACGGCTTCTCGAGTGACAGTTTGAATGATGAACTCAGTCAGGCATAAACGCTGCGTGAATGTGAATACAGCTCTGGCATGTTGCGTGTTCAGTGTTACTACTTAACAAGATGAGTCGGCTCATTGCCTCAGGTGTGAGAGCAGAGTCATGAACTCCTCCTGACTGGTTTATTGATTGAGGTCAGAGGTGAGACATTCTCATAGCTGGATCGGATTTTTGAGAGGATTCAAATATGACGCGTAGGTCAGGGTTTGAAGTGTGTTCCTGGATTTACTGGAGGAAAAATCCTGCAGGAGTTGATGATGATCATTTCCAAAGAGGTCTGCATATCAAGGACCTTTAATTTGCGCTGTTGGTGTGAATGCCCACACCAGCAGAGCCATGGGGAGGAGATGCAGGCAGAAAGTTGGTGAACTGATAAGAGGCTTGCAGCTACAGCAGAGTACGTTTCTTTGAGCCAAATCTCAGAGAGCAGCTCACATCGCAGCAGAGGAAACGCCAAAGCAGGATTTGAAAATGTGGCTATGCTGACAGCTGTAATTGCACATAAGAACGGGTTGGCTCCAGGAGTGACACAAATCACCATAAACACGGCAGAGATTACAACATGGTCTGCTTGGTGAAAATCCAGGAGGAGACTTTCAGGCAGTTAAAGACGTGCGAAGTCGAAAAGAGGTTTAACCTTAAAGACTTTGGGTTTAAGTAATCCTGCCTGCCTCTGGTAATAATAATAACCTTGTTGTTTTCTTCTGCAACAGATAAGAATCTGAAAGAAGAGCCTAAAGAGGTGGCGGAGGAGGAGGAGGAGGTGAAGGTGGAGGAGGAGGAGGAGAAGGATGAAGATCCGATGGATGCTTTCTATCCTCAGGCGCTGGCTGGCTTCATCATGGTGATGACTGAGGAGGGAGATATGATCTACCTGACAGAGAATGTCAACAAGCACATTGGCATCACACAGGTACACACACACTCACACACACACACACACACACACACTCTCACACACACACACACACACACACACACTCACACACACGCACACACTGTCTTGATGTTTTTAAATGGTAATCTTCTGCTTTGTGGGTGGCACAGAAATCTTAAGGCATTTGTTTTTGTGCCGTGCAGGCGTGTCCAGGACATTTAATCCTGACATCTGTTGATTGATTTTTGTGTAACAAGCCAAGTACTGATTGTAGGTAGAGGCGAGGACGGATAACGTCGCCGTGTGAGTCGTAGTTTGTGATAAAGAAACCAAAGTATTCGCTGCCAAAGCTTCACCACACTGACTCGTCCTTGTGAGGACTGTGTGGCTCCATGGCTGTGAAACCTCCTCTGTAACCATGGTGATATTATGATTTCTGTCGCTAAGTTCTTGCTTGTAGGGGGTCGTCTGATTGTCGGGGCTTTCTCTGTGTTATTGTAGGGTTTTTAACTTGCAATATAAAGCGGCTCGAGGAGGCCGTTGTTGGGATTTTGCGGCGTATAAATAAAGTTGAAATGAAAAATTGATGCTGTAACTGTGGCTTTCAAAAGCTTGTTGGCAACCTGTGTTCCTGCCTGCCCCGTCGGTTCTTCGGATCGTGTTGTCTAACGAAAACTCTGCCCATTTGCCGCGTATCCCCGGCCTCCTTCAGACACTTTTACACAATCTGTGCTGCATCTGGTTCGGTTCCAGCACTATTGAGAACGAGCCAAGCTTCTCTCAGGAGAGGTGTTTGGTTTCCAAGTCCCCTTTCAGCTCACTTGGCATCGTGTTAGCATTTGCCAAACTTCTCCTGACAGATGTCATGGCGGGGGCGGGGGACTCGTGATGTCCTCGGTCCAGCTGAAGCCAGTAGAGGGCTGGCTTTTCCAATGTAGTTTCCACTTTTTTTTTTCTTTCTTTTTTTAAAAAATTTGAATGGTGGGTCACACCGCTGCTTAATTGTGCTTTGCTTCACATAAAAAAAGATTAATTTCCTTGTTATCCTTAAGAGTCATGCTCACATAATTGAGATCATCCATCAACTGCTCCAACACACCAGGCTCTTTATAGCAGAAGGATTTTATTTCAGGATGGATGCATGAATCTAATGACTGGAAACTTTTTATGTAGTTCGAGTATTGCTGTAATAACCTATAGTTTGCACACAAACAGTTTAGTTTGTTTATATCAAGGGTGTGAAGGTCACTCTAGTTAATGGACCAATAAAACAATTATGTGATAACCCACCTTTCTTTTAACCTAGAAGTAAACAATCACGTTTATTGAGAA